TTTCCTCCCGGCAAAGTGAGTGAGGAAGCGCTGGGCGAGATCTTGCCAAGAGTCGATGCTTCCTTCTGGCAGTCCGTTGAACCACTCGTACGCTGGCCCCTCGAGTGTAGAGAGGAACCAACGGCAGAGGTATTCGTCGGACGCGTTCACCATCAGCATGTTGTTTTGATAGCGGCTGAAGTGCTCCTGGGGGTCTGATCGGCCATCGTAGGACTTGATGGCGTTCCCCCTGTACTTCTCAGGGATGGGGGCCGAGAGGACCCTGTTGGTGAAAGGGGTCCTAGTCCTGACCTGGATGATGGGGTCACCTCGCCCTTCGGCCAGCTCCCTCTCCAGGGCGCTGACTTTGTTCATGAGCGCGTTGAGGCCGGGGTCGTTGGAGGCGCCGGCCGTAGGGATGTTGGCCGACTGCTTGGCCTCCATCTGAGCCAACCTCCTTTCCAGCTGGGCGATGACCTCGTCCCGGGGGTCCCTGTCGGCCGCAGCGGCGCCCGGCTGGTTCCTCAGGCGCTCGTTGTGAGCCGCGTTGATCTGGTGACGCACGTCATCCTCGTGCAACTTCCCCTTGCCCTTGTCCGGGCGAGGCTGGTCCGCTGTCCGGGACACAGACCCCAAACTTTCACTTGGCGAGCCAGGACGAAGATCACCAATCCGTCCCGCCATCCTCTCCGAAACCGGACGACGGCGCGTGTCACCCAGCCTATTGAAGGCAGAGGCTTTTCCACGCGCTGGGGTCTGCCCGGGCCGAAGAGGGGAAGCAGGGTGGGAGTGGGACGATGCCGTGTCCTGGGCCACAACCCCCTCATTGTTGCCTATCTGGTCGGCAAGTGGTTGGGGATGAGGAGGTGGAGTGACGTTTCCTCCGGTCCTTGGCAAGAGTGCGCTGAGGACGGTGGGATTTTGAGCCAAGCTGGCGATGATGACCGATAGTGCGGCCTGGACCTGAGGATCTACGGACGGAGAGACCGCGGCCATAGGCTGGGCCGGGGCGTGGTCCGCTTTCTCAGCTCGTTTCTTGTCCAAGCCGAGGCGGGCATCAGGGCCGCCGCCGTTGAGTTGGTTGCGGAGGTCCGTTGTGAGGTTGAAGGCCTCCTGGAAGAGGTCCCCTCCGCCGACCTGGTCGGCCGTGGCGTCCTCATCGTGCTCCATGGGCTCTTGGTCCTCAGGGATGGCTTTGCTGACGAGGTTGCGGTTTGACTTAGTTCTCCCCATGATCAGTGGTTAACTGTGCTTGGTAGCGACGAAGGGTGCTAACTTGATTGTTCTAGCTCTCAACGAGAGCACCAAATGATAGAGTATATCTCCTAGATTCTAGAGAGAAGTGAGAGCTAGAGAGAGAAGTGCAGCAATATGCTTCAATAGAATGATTTTGTAACCCCTATAACTACTCCCAAGGGGAGTATTTATAGAGAAAATTAGGGTTGGGCTCCCAATCCTTGGGCTTGGGAGGCCCATTTACAACTGGACCGCTACTGGACCGAATACAAAGCCTCTAATGGGCTGTACAAATGAGTAAGTATAGAATCCGTTTCTAGGAGGTCTTCGTGGCCGACGAGGGCGTGGCCGTCGAAGGCACGGCCGACGAGGGCGTGGCCGACGAGGGCACCCGGGTTCCTTGGGCTCAGGACCATGATCCGAGTTGGCTTCTTCTCGGCCGACGTGGGCGTCTTGGCCGACGAGGGCGCCACTCTATTGTCTTGTGCTTTCTGTTCTTCCGAGTATGTGGGTCCTGGGGCTCAGACCCATATACTCCATCAGTTCGATATAGCCTAGTACATTTAGGTACTGCGAGGAGGGTTGGGAAATTTATTGGAAAATTTATAAAATATGATGATAATCAAAACAGTGAGAAGTGGGAGGCTTATATGAGAATCAGGGTGTGCATAATGTGGGTAAACCTCTGAAAAGAGGATCTAATCTGAAGAAGGGAGGAAAGAGCTATTGGGTGGACTTCAAATATGAAAAGTTGCCCAACTTCTGTTTTATTTGCGGTTTAATTGGGCATTCAGATAAATTCTGCCATTTAAATTATGAAGAAGATCTGGTTCTGGAAAAACATTTTGGGGTCCAGCATAGAGCAGGTAGCGGGAGGGAGACGAGTCCTACAGGAGGAAGCCAATGACTACTGGAGGGTTCATCGAGCTCTGGCAGAGACCACATGTTGGGGGGGACAATAAGTCTGATGACAAGATGGGGGTGATAGGAAAGAGTCTGTTGCAGATTCAGAGCAGAGCATAACTAAAGGCGTGGGAGTTGAGGCAAAGGAAGAAACATCGGGGGAACAAAAGATAAGAAGGATATGGGATGCACTAGGAGAAGTTAAGAATGGGGAGGATAGCATGGCTCTTGATGGGACAAAAAACGGGGAGGGGCGGACTTCGACTAGCAAGTCCGCCTAAGTTGATACAGGAACCAATGCAGAAGTTTTGGGTACTCGTGCAGTTCGGCAAGCTCGGAAAACAGCTCGTGTTTATCAGCTTTATTTTTTTCTGTTATGACAATTTTGTTTGCTTTGTGTTTTGTTTTATTTTGTTTTTGTTGTTCCACTCTGTAAGACGGTAGATTTGGATATGGGGATGAAAGGATTGGGGTAACCGTCTTTGCCTCATTTGTGCCCATTAATGGATCAGCGAGTTATATTGCTTTGGTTGAAGTGATTAACTCTGAGCTTGGTTCACGGGACGACGGTTCTCAGGATTCTTTTTGTCGGATTACCCACTATCTGAATGATGTGTTATCAATATAAGCCTATTCCTTCCCCACAAAACAAGTTGGCAACATTGGGGGAAACGGTATGAAAGTGTAAATGTGTAGGAGAAATAAATTTGATCAAATCTAATGAATGAATTTTGACATGAGATGAACTCAATCTTATATGTCTATCCGTACTGTTAAAGAGTAATACTCTATCTGTTCTTTAATAAACGTTTCATATTCTTTTTTGGAATGTTTTTAATTATTTGTCAATCTTTCCCCTTTTAGTAAGTTTTTCAATTAAAATATCTTTATACCCCAACTTTTATTACTCGTACTCCTTTTTACTTTTTACATACTACTTTCTTTTTCCTACTTTATCATTACTTTAATATATTTACTTTCCTATGTTTTCATTTACCTTACACTCTCTATAAAAGCATCTTCAATGCTACAATGTGCACAATGCACATTGCACATGTACCATGAGAGATAGCTACATAAATATAAGCAAATAAATTATCTCTCCTTATTTGTATGCTTTTATAAAATTTTACTAAGTTTTTCTCTGCAATGTCAATCGCAATGTCAACATTTAGACGGTCTTATTGCATTATGGAGAAAAACTTTCCAAAATTTTATAAAATCATTCAAATAAGGAGAGAAAGAATTTATTTACTAATATTTATGTGATTATCTCACATGGCACATGTGCACCGTGAACGTTGTAGCATTGGAGATGCTCTAATATCCATATCCCTACTACTTTCTTCTCAAAAACCACAAAAAACTTAAGGAAACTATTGATGAAAAACGGAGGGAGTATAATTAAGTATGCAAACAAATTTAATAATATTAGTCCTATTTAATTTTCTTTAGAGGATTCAAACATTTCAAAGTAATCACCAGTTTTAATAAAATGTGCTTGTATAATTTCAATTACATCGTATGATCACTGCTCCGTAAAGGAAAACCCTTCAAGGGAAGAGCGGTCAAGTCTAGGGTTTCCTAGGGGGTTTTCCGGCAGCGTGGCTAGTTCGGCGAAGGAAGAGTGCGGAAGACAACTTGTGGCAGCGATTTCGGTGGGGCAGACTATCTCACCAAGAAGAAGCTGGGGTGCTTGAACGCACCGCAGCAGAAATTCTCTTTACAGCGAGAGGACGAGTTTTTGGTTTTCTGCGGCAAGTTTTTACGAAGGGGCGGTTGCTAGGATTCTGATTCTTCTGCGCAAATTCCAGCAACAAAAACAAGTTGGTGTGCAGCAGAGGAGCTATTTGATGGAAGATTTTGTTGATCAATATAAACAGAGGGCAATTGACAAGGACAAGGAGGAGCTGATTTTCGCCGATGAAGGAGAAGTGGAACAGCCGGTGAGCGCAAGAAAGATAGGGTTTCTGACGAATTTTTCAGGTTTTGAATTTCGTTGCCACAATATTACAGTAGTTCGCCCTCCTCCGGAACCACCTCCGTACAATAGCGGACCAGCGAAGATGCTTGTGAGGATGGAGTGGAATTTTTATTTTTCTGCTTGTTATTTTGTTTTTGCTTTTTGTTTTGCCAAGACTCTTGAACATAGGTCAGGTGATGGGGAACTTAGTTTACTAGTCGTTGGCTCAAGTAAGCCTAATTCAGGATCAACGAATCTGATTGCTTCGTTCGAGGTGTCAGATTCTAAGTCTGGTTCAACGGCGGACGGTAGACAGTGAGTTCTTTGTCAATTTGTATCCTACTCTTGTTCTTTCTTATTAATATAAGGCACGTGCTTCCAAAAAAAATAATAAAATGTGCTTGTATATATATTTATACGTTTGCGTATTATAAAACACTCGATGTAAGATTTCACACGCAAGCTATTTTAGAGTCAGATTGCTCTTGGTATCATATGTCACCACTTTGAATTAGAGATATTTTTATGCAGAGCAAGACTAATTATTAATCAATAAAGTTAATTAACTTCAAAAAAGATACTCCCTTTGTTCTCCTGTTCTTGTCTCATATCTTATTCATTTGGTCAGCACAAATCACTCTTAATATCTTACTTTATATATCAATTTTTTATCAATTTTGATTCTGGTTTTTACGACTTTGTAAAGATTTTAATGTAGTTTCTGAATATGTAAAACAAATTACTAAAAATAATTTGAGTGTGAGCAGAGATATGTTTTCTTTATGATCAGTCAAGTATAGTAAAATGCATCGGACAATAATAGAGGGAGGGAGATAGTACTCTTTAAAAAGGAATCTTTTTCCAAACATGGCCTTGACAAAAAACCAAAAAACATACCATACATACGAGGGGGAATGTCAAGAAAAAATCGCTGTGGTAATAAAGAAATTCTCACAGGAACAACGGGAATACTCCGCAGTAGTAAATGGTAATGAGGCAGCCGCCTTTTTCCCATTCGAGTTCTCATCGCCGTTTGACCTTTCCAGTTTCTACTTGTTGAATCTTCCCATTTGAATCCCCGTCATTCAATCAACTGCTGGATTCTACCTATTCCCTTAAAGAAATTGAAATTGTATGCGGTTGCTCCGCCGATGAATTCTTTTTCTGCTGGCGGCGCTTCCGATGTGATCCGGACCTACCAGGCCTGGAAAGGCAGCAACGTAAGTTTCTTCCTCAGTTGTTTCCGATTTGCAACTGCTGTACTGAATACAGTTTATTTGCTCAACTTCTCGGATTTTTTCTTTATGTTATCGTAAATGATCATTATTTTTAGCTAGTTTGAGTAGGGCGCCTATTATGACTTTGAAAAAGTTATCCTTTACAATCTTATTATTGAATATTGATGACTTGATGTCATTCACCATCTATTGGTAGTTAATTTTGATTAACAGTATAATAGTAGGATAGTGATAACAAATGTCATGTGTTAATGAAGTTTCTTTGTTTGCCCAACTGGTTTTATTCTCATACTGAATTTCTTTTTTTGAATAGTCTTATCTTAAGGAATTTGTGATCCGCTCTGATTTCTCATAGTTCTTTCTGTACTTACCCAAGACTTGATGTTTCATTTAAAAATGTTTAACCTGAAAGGAAAAGTATGCTTTATATACAAAGTACTAATACTTGAAGTTCAATCTTAAAATGTCAAACCGGTAGGAGGAGTAGCTCTATGCTTTATATATGAGTTGTATTTTTATATTTGACTAATGTGTTAGCCTAACAGAAAGTAAATTAGTGGTGGTACTTCTAAGAGTTATTTTTCTAAGAAAACTTAACAATTCATTTTTCTCTTGATGCTTCTGTTATTATTCACATGTACGTGTTTGATTTTCAATGGATATATATGCAGAAATTTTGCCTTGAAGGGAGGCTCATCTTTGGACCGGATGGTAGATCGCTTTTTCTGACCATATTCCTCATAGTTGCACCTGTTGCAGTGTTCTGTGTCTATATAGGCAGAAAGTTGATGGATGACTTTCCTGATCACTGGGGGGTATCCATTACAGTTGTGGCTGTTCTCTTCACAGTGTATGTAAGTACCTAATTTTCTTCTGTTAACTAAAATAAGTGGACTACTTGGCCTAAATTTTCCTTGCATACTTGGTGGCACATTTCCCTATCACAAAACTTACTGCTTAATGCTTATCATCACTGACCAAATGATATCCACAAAGCTTTGGTAGATAAGTGAACTAACTATCAATTACTCCCTCCGTCCCGCTAACAATGGGACAAGAGGGAGTGACACGCAAATCAATAAAAAGTGGTTTATGTGGTTGATATTGAATTGATAAAGTAAGAATAAAGTAAGAATGATTTAGAGCCACACAAACTTTGCCAAATTTGGTATGGGACAATCTTAGTGGGACGGACCGATAAGGTAAAACATGACAATCATTGCGGGACGGAGGTAGTATTTTTATGACTCCTTCACTTAACTGACCTCTGCTATTATGATACAGATTTGAACTTAAGTTACTGTTATACTTCACTTTTTTAGTAGATCAATATTTCATGAGAAACCTCTATCTGAGGAAATGAGATAAATCGCATTCTGGAAGGTCTCATACTGAAATTTAAATTTTGAAGTAGGTTAAATTGGCATAGTCTACATGATTTTCAACCAAACTATTCAACTTTAGTTCCGGCAACTAGTGGGCAATTATTGTGATATTTAAGACTATGATCACTATGTAGTACAAGAGATCAATCCCTAATCTTCACAAGACTTATTTCTCTGGTGATGCATCATGATCATCAAAGGAATTGCAAATCCAACTAGCTCAAGAGGATCTGTCTATTACCTCCTCAGAAATATTGCTCATGGAAGTACAAGTTTCCCAGCTATGGTACTGCTGAAAAGGATAGGAATTTTCTTCTAACTCTGCCCCAAACTTGCAGAGTTGATTCAGCTAGCCCATGTTGGACCTTACTTAAATTATATGACGAAGAAACTTAAAGTCATAGGAGTATTACAAATTACCACATAGTTGTTCACCTTTCAAATAGAGCCATGGTTTTTTCATGCCTTTCTTTTGTTTCATTAACGTTCTTCATTAAAATCTACTTACATAGTTACATTGTTAGATGGAGTTTAATTATGTTTTTTCTACAATTTTCATGAACATTACAAAGACTAATTACTGCTTCTGAACTCTTACTGAAAACAAAAAGAACATTGGTAATACAACCCATATTGTTTGTTATCTGCTGCTAATTGTAAAGCGGAACTGAGCTCATATCTTCAAAAGTAAAAGCTAAGCTTTTGATTTATTTGGTTTGTTTAAGGACTTGGTCCTCCTCCTGTTGACTTCTGCAAGAGACCCTGGCATTGTTCCTCGCAATCTCAACCCCCCTGAGCCAGAAAACTTTGAAGGGAATGCACAAGCTGGACCTGGACAGACCCCGCAATTACGTCTGCCACGTGTGAAGGATGTTGATGTCAATGGAATAACAGTGAAAGTCAAATACTGTGACACTTGTATGCTCTATAGACCTCCACGCTGCTCCCACTGCTCAATTTGCAATAACTGTGTGGAACGGTTCGATCATCATTGCCCTTGGGTTGGACAATGTATTGGTGTGGTAAGTATATCTTTGAGTTGTAAATTGTTGTGAAACGCGCACGCCCTGTACAGGGCTGACGTCTTATGCGCATATTGCTGGGCACAGACTAGATGTGCCTCAAGAGGTAGATTTTACCTCACACTTTTATACTAGACTCAAACTGAGTAGAAAACTAATGTGGGATGCTCAATTCACCCCACTAAATACGTCCTCTTAGCCCAAGATGCTTGAGCTGAACGAGTGACAGGATGGCCAATTGGGCACAAGTTGACCATAAAATGGGCTGTCCAAATCATCAAATGGACGAATGACCTCCAAACCACTACTTGACCAGATTTTTTATATCATGACAAGTTCGGTCGAACTCATCCCAAAAGATTTGAATGTTAGATGCCACAATTGGACATTTAAATGTTGTACTGGTTTTTTATGTGAAATGAAACATTAATAAAGCTTTGAAACCGATTGATGGCTCAAGTTTAATGGTTACACATGCTTGGAAGAAGTGAGTGACTTGATTTTATGATGAAGCTTTGAAGCTTTTATTATTCACATGCTTAATTCCTTCACCTCTTAACTTGATTAAGTTCTGGTGCACATTGCAGAGGAACTATCGCTTCTTCTTTATGTTTATTTTCTCGTCAACGCTCCTCTGCTTGTACGTGCATGCATTTTGCTGGGTCTATATTAGAAGGATTATGGATAGTGAGGAGACTACCATTTGGAAAGCAATGTGCAAAACTCCAGCCTCAATTGTGCTCATTATTTATACTTTCTTATCAACCTGGTTTGTTGGCGGCCTTTCAGTCTTCCATCTTTACCTCATCAGCACAAACCAGGTTTGATTTTTTTCCCCTCTTGTGTTTTAACTATGTGACCTAGTCTGGTATTCTTTAGCTCTTAAATACGCTTGGTAAAATAAGAGTCTTGTAGTTTGAATTGAAAGCCGCAATTAGATTATAGTAGCAACTTATAACCACAGATATTATTAGCAAGTAGCAACTTAAAAACCACAGCAGTCTAAAGCTGAGTGTTGTGGTCTAAAATCATTTTTTGATTTCTTTGTTTATGTTAATGAGCCTTATGACATGTTTGGTGACATTTGAGCCATATATATGACTGCAGTCAACATACGAGAACTTTAGGTATCGGTACGACCAACGGGTCAACCCATTCAACAAGGGGATAATTCAAAACGTAATGGAGATATTCTGCAAGAGTATTCCTCCTTCAAAGAACAATTTCAGAGCAAAGGTTCAAAGAGAGGCCGAGATACAACCTCGAATAGTAGGTGGTGGTGATAGTTACAGTCCAAATTTGGATAAAACGGAATTAGAAATGGGAAGGAAACCGGTTTATGATGATGATCCTATGAGAAGCAGCTCTGAATGGGAAAGGTTGCCAAGTAGAAATGACAATATTCTAGATAAAATCAACAACACACATTCATCTCCTCCATCAGGAGAGCTTAGCCGGAGCATAGTAAATCCTATGAACTCTACTTGGGGGCGGAAAAGCCGGAGCATGGATCTTCCGCCTGACATTGTTGCATTGGCAACTGAAATTGGGTGCTCAAATTACAGCAATGGTGGACATGCTCTGTCAACTGGGAAACTGCTAACAACATAATGAGCTTTTGAGAGCAAAACGAAAAATGAAGAATTGAGTCACAACCGCTTACAATTTGCTGAGGTAATTTTCAAATGTTATATGGTGTGTAAATCTTATTTTACTTAATTTTTTTATGACAGAATCTATCATCTTTGAAGTGTGATTAGTCTTGGTAAATCAATATGTATTCTTACTGACTGCATTTTTTAACATCAAATGTATACAAGTTTATACTGTAATGCTTCCTCAATATCTATATTGTTGCTATTATACTCATTTTGTCTAGTTTCTCGTATATCAAATCATACAGAGTATAACTGTAGAACTTTCTTATACAGAATGGAGGATTTTTACTATGCCCCAATAAACTTGTGTTTGTTTTGTCAGTTTTGTGTGATTTAATAAAATTAATTCGGCCAATTGTGATTATGATGATCTTTTATAGTTTCATTTTATTTAGTTTTATGAACTGTGATGATTCCCATGAGATGTGATGTTTAAGGTGTAGGAATTGTAACTGAAATTGGTAATACTAGCACTGTTCTAGCTCAGGTAAACAGACCGTTCCGGATTCGGTTTGATTCCTACCCGATTTTGTAACCTATAAAAACGGTACCGAAACTGAACTGGTTATGGACTTGTTTGCGGCATCTGTTCTGGTTCAGAACCGGATAATGACAGCTGGAGAATTGGTTCTGGCCCCCAAAAAACAGCTTGGTAGGAAACTGGGACCGTGTCCAAGCCCTAGTGAAAGACTGAAAGGGTGAATCTTGTACTTTGATCCAATGCTGTATGGCTGGCTGTCTTGACTATTGTTTGTTTTGCGGTTCCCAGTTGGGTGCCCAACTTGGTGTCCAGATCGTTAGATTGAGATTTTCCGGCTTTGTATGTCAGTAATGACTTTTATTCCAGGCAGCATGACAACGAGAATAATATCGACTGATGATTTTTTTGTGAGAAAATTAATGGAAATGCTGAATGCAACAATAAATAGCATTTATGAGGCATATGATATTAATACGCACGCACTAAAAATGAAATTAATCTTCTGCTCTGTGGTCGTTAGGTACAGGAATGATTGTTTTTTATAATGTTATCTTCTTTGACCGAAACGCCAACTAAACATGCCAAACAATAAATGTCCAACAAGTAATGCCTATTAGGATTTTATCATTATTATTTTATTATTAGACTTCCCGTACTCAACTTCAACGAAAAGAAACATGATACCTTGCATTTATTTGTAACGAAAATAATTGTATCCTAATGTAATGCGAATTAGGAATGGACTCGGGCCGGGTCAACCGGGCTGCAATTGACCCGGCCCGGTACTGTTACGAACCGGCCTGACCCGTGGCCCGGGTGTAATATACCCGAATCACAATTTTTTTGGGCGGGTCCGGGTCTCCAAAAAATGAACCGGGCTGGGCGGGTCGGGCCTGGTTTGGGCCATTTTTTTTTGTTTTTCAAATTTTTTGTGAGGTAAATGAGTTGGATTGGGTGTTTTGGAGCCTGATTGGGGTGGGTGGGTGGGGGGTAGGAAGTTATTAGAAAACAAAAAAAATGTACCCGGCCCGGACTCGGTAGCTACCCGGGCTGGTTTCGGGTCTCAACAACACAAAGAAAGCTCGGCCAGGCCCGGGTCGAGGCCCGACCCGGCCCGGTCGAGTCCATGCCTAATGCCAATGCGAACAATTTCCTACCTCAAATGGTTACACTAAAATCGTCTCCTGAAAGATAGACGAACTATCAATTTGGGACCCGAAAGATGAAATATATCGGTATAGGACCGAATGATGGAAAACTATAAATCTAGGACCCGAATGATGAAAACTATAAATCTAGGACCCGAATGATGAAAACTATCAATCTAGGATCCGAATGATCGAAAACTATCAATTTAGGACCTATGTTTTCTTAAATATTATTATTATTTTTATTTTAAAAAATTAAATAATATTTAGTTTTATTAAACTAATAAACTTTTGTGAAGAAAATTTCACCAAATATTAGCAATGGAATTAATAAAAAATTAAATAAATCAAAACCTATGAAATGTTAGGTCCTAGATTGCTAGTTTTTCATCTTTCGAGTCCTATAATGATACATTTCATCTTTCAGATCTCGGATTAATAATTCGTCTATCTTTCAGGTCCCAAATTGATAAAATTCATTGCTGCTCAGGAGGCAAAATAGTTGAGTGTGTATTTGATATATGGGTCCATTGTCATATAAGTGGAATTTGGGTTGTAACTTGTAAGCGTATTGAGATGAATATTTGACATTACTATTCGAATAATAATGTCAAAGTACTACCTCTGTCCCATAAAATAAGTTCCACTTCAATTTGGATCGTAATTTAAGAAAGTGAGAATAAAGTGGAAGTGTATGATTGTGGTTGAGTAAGAAAAAAGTAAATGAATGTTAGCCACACAAAACTTTCCAAAAAGAAAAGTGGGACTTATTTTATGGGATGACCCAAAAAGGAAAGTGAGACTTATTTTATGGGATGAAGGGAGTATAAAATTATAATGTATAGTTTTCCTTTTTGCCTCATTTTCATAGTACATATTTCATAAATATCAAAATGTTTCTACAAGACACTTATCCAAAATCAACATTAATATAAATGCGTCAATGGATAATTATAGTTTCAAGATAAAATATTTAGACTAAAACATGTAACGTAAAATATTTACGAATTATGAGTTTCAGTTCATTAATATAGATATTAAACTATCATTACTCCGTAATATTTTTACATTGTATTAAACGGAGTAGTTATTTATACGAAAGAGCGCATCTTGATTGGCAAAGGTTGGGAACCAATTGTTGCTAAAAATAATAAAATATACAAGATCATGACAAAAAAAATATGAAATTTCATTAATTTAATATTTTGTATAATCTCTTGAAATAATTACATATTATGACTTAAATAAAGATTGTTTATAAAAATGTGATCAAACTAGAGTAGTAATGAAATGACCATTAGTCATATTTGTGTAAATAAATTTTATTTTAATGATATTTTTGGAAAAAAACTATAATCTCATACCACGATACCGGGTATGCAACATGCACACTTGGATGTAGGACTGTAAAAGAATAACCCGAACCCGCATAACCCGACCGACCCAACCCTACCCTACCCTATTTAATCAGGTATTTGATTTTAAGAAACGTTCATGGGTTAAATATGTTTGAACCCGCACCTAATGGGTAGAGTTGCGAAATTAAAATCTCAAACCCGATAGTAGCCGACCCGACCAAAAGTTCATTTTACTCTTATTATGCTACAATGTTTTCTTGGATAATTTAAATTTAAGACCAATGTGTTCTATCTAAGACTTTATGATATTAGAATTATAATTAAACATTTACCATTTTGACTGTGTGAATATTATATATTTACGTTTTCTTCTAAATTAATTTCCTTTACGGAAGGATGTTTTAATACTATTCCCTAATGTTTTTGCTCATAAAAGATACAAGTACTTGTATTTGTTTGTTTGTTTTGGAAACAAGTTAATCGAGTTTCAAATTGGTTACAATGATTTCCCACATGAAAGATGCAACCCGATGTAATTTTTTTTCAATACCCGACCCTACTCGACCCGTTCATGTATGGTTTACCAACATATTTTGCGTACTAGACGAGTTGGTTAATAGTCAACCCGAACAAATTGGGTAGGTCCAAAAAATATAGCAAACCCGATCCAACCCGCTCGATGTGCAGCCCTACTTGGATGCTCTTGGTGACTTGTCAAGTGTAATGGGCTTGGGTTTGTTGACGATTGGGTTTCCTTGTCACTTCCGGCAAGCCCGTTGAATGTCCGTTTCCTTTGAGTCTGTTACTTGACCAAGGGTTTATCTACGCCCTTCTCCTTCGCACACAAAACCCCTTCCATTCCAGTTTCCAAGTTGCAGTCCCTCAGCCCGCCGATTACGCCATGGACCCTTCCACGGTTGATCCTGCTGTTCTGAAATCACTCCAAGTAAGCGTTTTATGCTTCTTCATATACACGCCTCTCTGTATGTAGGTAATTAGGTTCCAATCGTCTAATTTTAGACATAGTTTATCTTTTCCCTTTTAAAATGCCTTGTTGAATGCATTGGTGTAAATATTATAAAAGTACCAGTAGAACTCATGTTCTATATAGATCGACTCTCCCTCTCTTTTCCCATTTTCGGAAAAGCATGTTTTTCGATCTTCAATTATCGTTGCACATCATATGCCATGGATGCAACTTGTATGCTCATAATATGGTTTTTCCTGGATTTCTAAAATTGAGTGAAAACATGAAAGATGGGAATTTGAGTTGTAAAGTGTAACAATCTCATACCGATCAAGTATGGACTTGATTGGCTAGTCTTTTGAGAGTAGGTTCTACATCTAGGTTCTAGTATAAGCTAGGTTCATATCATAAAGTTGGTAGGCAGTACGTTTTGCCATGGATGCAAGTCATGGCTGTCATGCAACTGATATGCTTATGTATATACATGCAAAACTTTGACTTACTAACTCTATCCCTTATAAGTTTGCGGACTTTCTCTTTGTTGATTGTCCCAAAACTAAGTTTGATGCTCTCTTTTTTTATACTACATATATCCCATGGGATTGGTGCGGGTTTTTAGAAAATAAAGGAAAAAGATGTTGTTTTACAATTCTAACTTCCAAAAGTAAGAAAAAGTAAGATGAGTCCCAAAAAGTAAAGTGTGAAATGATACGTAGTAGATAAAGTCATAAAGCCAAAAAGGGATAAAGTAGAAAAGTAAAAAGTTAGTGAAGTTCAATTTAGGACAACCTAAAAAGGAAAGGGTAGAGACGGGAAGAGTATCTTATAAAGTAGGAAAGTAAAAAAGTTAGGGCCTGTTTAGATATTTTCTTTTTTTTTTACTTCTGTTTTTCGTTCTCCAATTTTCTATTTTTATTTTTCAGTTTTTCTATCTTCAGTTTTCTGTTTCTATTTTCTAGTTTTCCATTTTAAAATCTGAAAACATGTTTATCAATTTTTTCACCCAGTTCTGTGATTATCCAGAAGACTCACACATTTACTTCACGGGTTACTAAATGGTGCTTATTAAGACTCGTGTTAATAAGCGACGCATAAAATAAGCAATGTTATAAGATCATGTTTACTTCAAAAGGTTTAAAACACCGTTTAACATTAACAATGTCCAAAATAACCCTATACATATATAGACGCACAACATTCATGAACACAAATATATAATATAATATGTGGGGTCGATCACCTCGTACTCGTACCCATACTCCTAACTCCTACCCTGCCCCTATACCTCATACCCCACCCTACACCCTACTAGGAGTGAGCATTCGGTCGGTCGGATAACCGAATAACCGACCAAATTTTTTCACTCTAATAACCTACCGAAACCGACCGATAATATCACAATAACTGATCGAAAAACCGTAGTTCGGTTTCAGTCGGTAACCGAATAACCGACAATAACTGACCATATAATTTTTTTAAGCATATTTTTTCCAAAAAATTGAATGCTTTAAATAAAAATATTAGAAAAAATATTTGATACAAAAATGGATGAAAATAATTGATTTTTTACAAAAAAAACAAAATGAATGAAATAACTGATCATATATAAAATGTTTTTTTCTTCATTCATGAAATAAATAAGAAGTAATGAATTAAATCATCTCATAATAAAATTAGTTTTCTTACGCTACTGGTAATTTTTCTTGTGCACGAGTGTCATTTTATCTGTTTTAGGTTAACCACTAAATACTAAATACATGAGATTTATTAAAATATGAGGGCTTTCCTTAAATATTACGGAGTACTAGATACTAAGGTAAACTAGAATATGACCAAAGTTAACATGAGTATACCATTCATGATATGTTTGTATCCACAAGACCACAATATTACTTTTGGTCATATATTTGACATTACTTCTTAGAGTAATTATGATATGTTATTAAGTGAAATATCATAACATAAATGAAGTACATACAAACGTTTATATGGAGTAGACTATAATTTGGTTTTCGGTTAACCGACCGCTAACCGATTAAAATAACCGACCGTTAACCGAATAACCGACTTCTTTTAATATGTAATAATCGATTACCGACCGATAACCGACTTTTTCGGTCGGTTCGGGTATCGGTTTTCGGTTTTATCGGTTTTGTCGGTTATTTGCGCAGCCCTACACCCTACACCCAATTCCACACCCTTGACCCCTACCTCTACCCTTACCACGATCTTACACTCTACCCGTACTCCCCTAAAACTCTTCATACCCACCCATACCTACTCGTAGGGGTCGGGGTAGGGAAGGAAGGTATGTGGGTGGGGTGGTAAGGTGTAGGGGTTGGGTGGGGTAGTAGGTGGGTTAGGGTGGGGGTAGTGAGTAGGGTTGGGGTAGGGTAGGGAGTTGAGATAGGATGGCGGTAGGGTGGGGCCAGGATCAGGGTGGGGCAGAGATAGGTGAAGGGGTAGGATGGTGGTGGGGGTAGGATGGGGTTGAGGTAGGGGACGTGTAGGAAGAGGTAAGGTAGGCCTAAGGGTCGAGGTGGGGTTGAGGTGGTAGGGGGTGGCGGTAGGGTAGGGTGGATCGGGGTGGGGGTAGGGTCATTGGGCGGGTAGGGTAGGGCTTAGTTTAAAAAAGCGCGCCTGAGGCGCAAAGGCGCTAGGCACATATAGGCGCTTGGTTCATTGCAATTTACTTAAGCAGGCAGCGAAGGTTCCTAGAGGGCGATCGCCTTTCTCGCTTAAGCGTGCCTTTTGCACTTCTAACAGGCGAGCGTATTTGACGCCTCAGGGAAGTACGGTCCTCACTCCTCTCTAGTCTTCTTCTTCGTTTCTGCCTTCTTCCTTTGGTCTTCCGATAAATCTGGCGTAGATCTGAGCCTCTGAGTCTTCCGACTTAACCTGCGCTGCCATCTCGCATCGCAGGTAAGTATGTTTACTTTTTTTTTGTCTTCTGCTATTTATTTTCTTTTATTTTAAGTTGTTATATTTATAAAAATATTAACTGGAAAAAAAGTTAAGTCTTTTAAGTTTGTAAGTTTTTTAAGTATTTTAAGTTTTTAAATTTACAAAATTATTTAAATTATTTAAATTTACAAATCTGCCTGTAATTACTTTTACAAAATTGTATTTGTGTGATAGTTTATTAATTAAATATGTATTATTTTATAGTATATTCCGTAACAATGATAATATCATAATACTATATAATATATATTGTAGTGTTAGAACACTGAATTATTAACTATGTATTGCATAAAATGACAGTTTTTATTTTTAGCATTTTTAACAATTTTTTATATAACACTTTATTACATTAATTGTTTAAATTATTACATTAATTGTTTAAATTACCATTAACAGTTTTTATATAACTTATTATTTAATTTATCACAAAATGACTATTAATTGTTTATGAAGGAAATGATGATGTTGAGCTTGCTACTCTCGATAATGAGGATGATGACAGTGATGAATTCTAGGCCTAGATTTCACAATTGTGCTTGCGAGTTTGCTACTTTGCTTTTTAATTATGTTTTCAAGTTTTAAGATTGAGTTTTGTGACTTGACTTTTGGCAATTATGCCTTTAAACATATATTTCTTGCTTCTGTCTTATTATCTTTAATGAATATTTTGTTTCTCTTATGATTTTTACAAAGATTGTTTAATAGTTTGAAGTATTTTTGAGAAGAGTGCTTCATGTAGAAGTACTAAAAATATATTTCACCAAAAAAATGTGGCTGAGATCCGTGAGGCACGCGCCTCACCGCCTAGCGCCTCGCGCCTCGGGTAAATCAATGAAATCGCCTCAAGCCGCCTCGTGCCTTTTAAAACTAAGGGGTAGGGGTAAAGGGTAAATTACGAGGATGGATGTAATAGAATGGAATCGACATCGGAGCGTGACCGGACCCACCACTAGGTGTAAGTATGCAAATTCATTGCAGCGGCCTGTAGCATCTGCCTTTTCCAAATTTGGAAAACTAGTAAAAGTCACTTCTCCAAATCATTAAGAAAAAGAGAGACACATCTCATTTTTTTCGTTTTGGAAAACGGTTTGGTAAACGTTTTTCTGTTTTCCTTTATCCAGTTTTCCATCAATTTTCTTTGGTAAACACATTTCATGTTTTCTGTTTTCTAGTTTTCCCTTATGTTTTTTGTTATTTCTTTCTCTTCTTCGCAAACATCAATCATGCCGTTTTTACTTTATTAGTTCATATGTGGTTCAAAGTTATAAGGTACAGAAGGTGCATTTAATTACTCCGTATTTACTAAGATATCCCGTGTTTTCAATTAGAAATGATCTAGTTTTTCTTATACCAGTTTTGTAAATTGTTGCATTCCTCCAATAAGATTAACCTCTCGGGACTGCACTTATCTACTGTCTTAGCTAGTCAATATATTTTTTCTTCCATCTATACCATGTGATGTTAACCTTCATGGTTTAAAGATTTTAATAACTTTCTTTTATTAATGACATGCATTCATAACATTTTTGGTAGGAGGAAAAGCAAAAGGCAATGGTGAATGAGTTGATTGCTAAGGTCACAAGTTCGTGTTGGGACAAATGCATTACCAGCAGTCCAGGAAGCAAGTTCAGCTCCACCGAAACAAATTGCCTATCTAACTGTGCCCAACGCTATATTGATATGACTGGCTTGATTGTTAAGCGTTTCCAGTCGATGAACTAGCAAGATAGAGAGAAAACATCAAGTAGTAAAAAAAGTGTTGGTTTGTACCCGCATGTGCAATTGTTGGCAAGTTTTTACTCCGAAATCAACTTTACACTATTATTCATTTCCTTGACTAGTCATCATCTTCATCTCCTCCTGTCTACATTTTTTCTTTATTCACGCAGTCTACGTCTTCGATGGATCAGGGTCTAACCCCGTTGACACATTAGGCACTCATCTTACCATCTAGGGCCTCTGTCCCTTGTCATTTTCATTAGCTTATTTTACATAGGCTTGTACCTACAGGACTATTTGCAATTAAAGAGATGAACGTGTGGAAAAACTCAAGTTTGAGTCAATTGATTACTGAAATGGGTGTATCTTTTCCCACTTGTATTCAACTTCCCATTTTTCACCCCATAGGCCCATAAGTCCACTAAAACAGAAAACACTGATAAAAGAACGGAAAATACTAAAAGTGAAGTGCACGACAACCATTTGCAGTAAAGAATGTGACATGTGGCAAGTGCACTTGCCCCAGAACTCCATAAGTGTCCACTTATGGTAAGTGTACGACAATCAATTCCATGTTTTGGTGTTGTGGCTTTTTCATGGTTTCATCATATTTGTAGAGAAAAATATGAATTGTAATCATTATTAGGGTGGACCGCAATTGGATTGGAACCAGGCTGTTTTTTATTGGACCGATTTTTATGTAATTGTTTTTCACTTCAATTGATATCCACGATTGTTTTTCACTTTCTAATTGATTTTCATCATTACAACTTCAATTACATAGTCCTATTTTTCCGGCAAAATTATCTGATTTCCTTATACGTTGTGAAATGAAGAAGATGCAGAACAGATTTAAGAAATAGATATATTATTAATAATAAGTTTTAGATATTTTTCTTCTTAATATGAAAATTTCTGAATTCTGAGTTCATTTACAAAGAAATGAACTAACTATATTTATACTAGTCAGACTTCGGGATGAATCATCTAGGAATGATTCTACACAATTTGTTAACAGTATTAGATCAACCCACCTGTCTAACTATGATTACAAGGATATGAATTAGATGAGTAGGCTTATTACAAGGATCAGAAGTAGCTTGGTGTCCTAATTACAAGGATGGACATTCACACTTATCATATGCATCAAATTTGAAGAACCCGTGACACTTCTAGCTAGTTTAAAATGTCAGGATGGCTTTTCATTTTATTTTACTTTCTCATAGTCACTTAGTATGTTAGTATTGCTCTCTTGATACATATAGGTTTCGTTTAACTTATTAGCCCTTATCTCTTCTTCTTGTTTCGTTTCTTCCACGGAGAGCATTTTAAATTTGTATTCCTTCTTTCCGTCTGGTTTTTATTAGCTTCTTCTATCAAATTAAGAGCAATACGTATATGAAGCTCAATTAAAGAAAAACAGACTTGTTCACAAAGGTATGTATGGTATCTATATTTTCTTTTCATACGTATAAGATATAAGTTTTTATTTAAAAAATTCCGAATAATTTTCTGGTTTGAGTACTAAAAGAAGAATAGATATTGACGTTAATGCCTGCAGGAGATTCGTGCTAATAACGTGTTGTGAAATGAAGAAGATGCAGAACAGATTTAAGAAATAGATATATTATTAATAATAAGCTTTAGATATTCTTCTTCTTAATATGAAAATTTCTGAGTTCTGAGATCATTTACAAAGAATTGAACTAGCCATATTTATACTAGCCAAACTTGGAGATGAATCATCTAAGAATGATTCTACACAATTTGTTGGCAGTATTAGATCAACCCACCTGTCTAACTATGATTACAAGGATATGAATTAGATGAGTAGGCTTATTACAAGGACCAGAAGTAGCTTGGTGTCCTAATGACAAGGATGGACATTCACACTTGTCATTTTGGTGATTTTACAACACTTCCCCTTGAATGTTCATCCTTGAATTATGTATTTATTATTTTAAAAACTTATTGTGAAAATTAAGGGGTAAAGATTACGACTTATAATGTCATTGTATTTGGATGTACTGTCTCGTTAAAAACCTTATCAGGAAAACCCCAGTGGGATAAAAACATGATGAAGGAAAAAAGAGTGCAGTGCATTCAAATACTCCCCCTGAACTTAGGTTAAATTTTGAAGGCGGTGCATGTCGATTTTCTGTACAAGTTCTATGAACTTCTTCGGGGGTAAAGATTTGGTGAAGAGATCGGCCGGATTTTCACTAGATTTGATTTGTTGAATGTTGATCGTTCCTTCTTTCTCCAGATCATGAGTAGAGAAGAATTTTGGTGATATATGTTTCGTTCTGTCACCTTTGATGTAGCCTTCTTTAATCTGAGCTATGCACGCAGTGTTGTCTTCGTAGATCACAATAGGATGACAAGTAATATGCTTCCTACCGCATTCGTTTTGGATGTGTTGAATCATAGATCGCAACCATACACATTCTCTTCCGATTTCATATAGTGCAATTAACTCTGAATGATTCGATGATGTAGCTGTCATTATCTGCTTCATAGATCTCCACGAGATTGCGGTATTAGCATAAGTAAATACGTACCCGGTTTGTGATTTCGCCTTTTGAGGATCTGATAAGTATCCAACATCTGCATATCTGATTAAAGTGGCTTATGCATCTTTGTGGTAGAATAGGCCGAGATCAGGTGTACCACGTAGATAACGGAATATGTGCTTGATCCCGTTCCAATGACACCTCGTTGGACACGAGCTGTACCTAGCTAATAGATTTACAGAAAATGCAATATCTGGTCTAGTATTATTAGCTAAATACATCAACGCTCCAATGGCACTCAAATATGGTACTTCGGGACCGAGTATTTCTTCGTTGTCTTCTCGGGGACGAAATGGATCATCGTGTATGTTGAGAAATCTAATTCTCATTGGTGAAGTCAACAGATGAGCTTTGTCCATATAGAATCTCTTCAAAACTTTCTCGGTGTAATTGGATTGATGGATGAAAATTCCATTCTTCATATGCTCAATTTGAAGTTCGAGACAAAATTTGGTTCTCCCGAGATCTTTCATTTCAAATTCTTTCATAAGATATTTTGCAGTATTTTCAATTTCATCAGAAGTTCGAATAATGTTTAAATCATCAACATATATTTCAATTATGGTGAATCCTGAATTTGATCGGTGAATGAAAACACATGGACTAATTGGATCATTCTTATATCCTTCTTTTAGAAGATATTCACTGAGACGATTATACCACATTCTTCCAGATTGTTTTTGTCCATACAATGACTTCTGTAATTTAATGGAAAACATGTCTCGAGGTTTCGAGCTATAAGCTTTAGGCATTTTAAATCCACCGGGAACTTTCATATAAATGTCTGTATCGAGTGAACCATACAAATATGCAGTCACTACATCCATTAGGTGCATTTGCAGCCTTTCAAAAACAGACATGCCAATGAGAAACCTTAATGTAGTTGCATCAACTACTGGAGAATAGGTTTCTTCATAATCAATTCCTGGCATTTGAGAAAAACCTTAGGCAACAAGTCAGGCTTTATATCTTACAATTTCATTTTTCTCATTGTGTTTACGCACAAATACCCATTTAAAACCCACTGGTTTTACACTTTTCGGCGTAGGGACTATTGGTCCAAAAACATCACGTTTTTCAAGTGATTTTAATTGAGCCTGAACAGCTTCATTCCATTTTGGCCAATCGTGTCGTTTCCGACATTCTTCTATTGATGTTGGCTCATTGTCATTGTTTTCATTCATAACATTTGTGGCAATGACATAGACAAATATTTCATTAATATCAATATCTTTTCGATTCCATTGCATTCCAGTAGAAACGTAGTTTATTGAAACTTCATAATTATCAATGTTTCTATCATTATCTGGAATATCTTCCTCGTTTAAGGAAGTTGGATCGTCATTTGAGATATTTGTTTTGTCAATATTATTTTCTCTGTCAGCATTTTTCAAATTGGTCATTTTCGTGTTCAGAAGGATGAACATCTTTGACATCACATAGTAATTCTTGCCTTTTAGTTTTTCTTGGTTTTATGTCTTTTGATCCAAGTGACCTGCCACGCTTTTTGCGTATAGAAGAATCATTTGCAAGAGATTTTTCAGAATTCTCTGCTGGGATTTCGATCCTGGCAGAGGCATTCCTGGCAGGAATATGTGACTTTGTCACTTTCTTTGTATCTATGAATGCATCAGGCAACTGATTTGCAACATTTTGTAAATGGATTATCTTTTGAACTTCTTTCTCACATATATTTGTTCTTGAGTCAAGATGTGATAACCCTGTTGCATTCCATGTTATCTCTTTCGTACTTGGGTCTAATTTATTCTTTTCTCCCCCTAAGGTCGGGAACACTGTCTCATTGAAAGGACAGTCTGCAAACCGTGCGGTGAATAAGTCACCAGTCATCGGTTCGAGATATTTTATTATTGAAGGAGATTCAAAACCAACATAAATTCCCAACCTTCTTTGAGGACCCATTTTTGTACGATGAGGTGGAGCAATCGGAACATAAACAGCACAACCAAATATCTTAATGTGTGTTAAGTTTGGCTCTTGTCGAGTAACTACTTGCATTGGGGAATATTCATGATATGCAGTTGGTCTAAGCCGAACTAAATTTGCTGCATGTAAAATAGCATGTCCCCAAGCTGATGAAGGTAACAAATTACGCTTCATTAATAATGGTCTAGCGATTAATTGTAATCATTTAATCAAAGATTCGGCAAGACCATTTTGTGTATGTACATGAGCAACAGGGTGCTCCACATCAATCCCAATCGCCATACAATAATCATTAAATGTTTGGGATGTAAATTCTCCTGCATTATCAAGTCGGATTCTCTTTATAGAATGATCCGTAAAATGAGCTCTTAATCGTATGATTTGAGCAAGGAGTTTAGCAAATGCTAGATTTCTAATCGATAATAGACTAACATGTGACCGTGTTGAAGCATCAATCAACACCATAAAATATCGAAATGGTCCACATGGTGGGGCTATCGGACCACAAATATCTCCTTGAATCCTTTCTGAAAATGCAGGTGATGCAATTGCAATTTTGTTCATAGAAGACCTGATGATCATTTTGCCAAGAGAACAGGCCTTACAAGGAAAATCACTTGATAATGGAACGTTGATATTCTTTAATGGGTGTCCAAGTGAAGTCTTAATGATTTTATGCATCATTACTTGGCCTGGGTGACCTAAACGGTCATGCCACAACATGAATGTTTTCTGATCATCTATCTTTGTGTTAGAAACCAAATTTATTTCGAATGGACTAATATATGTGAAATATAGTCCTGAGGAATATGCTGTCATTTTTTCACAAATATATTTAGTGCCAGATTTAGTTGTCGTGAGACAAAGATATTCCTTTTGATTTTCATTCACGGTTTCTATGTGATAACCATTTTGATGCATATCTTTAAAACTCAATAAATTTCCTCGCGATTTGCTGGAGTATAGAGCGTCATTTATAATTATTTGTGTCCTGTTAGGGAGCATCACATATGCTTTCCCAGAGCCTTCAATGAGCTTCGCAACACCTGATATTGTATTGACTTTAGCTTCAACTAAAGTCATTTGAGAAAAATATATTTTATTTCTCAAAATGGTGTGCGTAGTGGCGCTGTCTATCAGACATAGCTCTTTATCATTGGAATGATCCATACCTTCAATATATATAAATAAACATAAGCTTGATCACAAATTATGCATATTATTGATCATAAGAGTACATACATTACACACATTTATTTAAAAACAAAATAAGAGGAAGAAAGAAAAGGTACATAAAACTAGCATTATACAACATAAGGAGTCTACTATTTTATTTTGTAATATTTTGATTTATGGCAAAAGCATCGTCCATAATGGCATCATCCGCGAAAAAGTCGGACACATCAAATTTTGGCATTGGCGGAGTTGTATCATCGATATAATTGGCTTCCACATTTTTGTTTAGATTCATGGAAGCTTGAAATAACTCCACCAAGTGTTTAGCTGTAGGACACTTATTAGCCCAATGCCCCGTCATACCACACTTATAAGAGGTCGTCTTTCCCGAGGTTTTTGGAGGGCGATTTATTTGATGGGCTTTTCGTTTGCCCTTGTCCTTATAATTTGGTCTGTTGGCCTGTTTATATTCTCGGTGAGGCTTGTTATTATGACCACTAAAATGTCCACGTTTAAATTGCCTTCGAATGCCACTGTGTATTGCATTGGATTCAGTGGCTAAATTATGGCCAGATGGACCATAAAGCGAAGGACTAGAACCGGTGGGTCTCAAGTTGTGGTTCTTCATTAAAAGGTCATTATTTTGCTCAGCTACAAGTAAAACCGATATTAAGTCGAAGTATTTTTTTAAAACCATTTTCTCTATATTGTTGTTGTAGCAGCATATTAGAAATATGCATGGTAGAAAAGGTTTTCTCCAACATATCAGCATCAATGACTTTCTGTCCATATAACTTTAATTTGGATGTTATTTGGAACATAGCAAAATTATAGTCAATGATTGATTTAAAATCCTGGAATCTTAAATTGATCCTGTCGTACTGAGCTTTAGGCAAAAGTACCTTTTGTTGATGGCAATACCTCTCCTGTAAATTGTCCCATAATTCTTTTGGGTCATCAATCAAAAGATATTCAGATTTGAGACTTTCATGGAGATGGTGACGGAGAAAAATTATAGCTTTCGCTTTGTCTTGGGAAGATGATTGATTATTAGCTTCAATGGTGTCTTCCAATCCATTTGCTTTTAAATGTGCCAAGGCATCCACTTTCCATTCCAAATATTTTTGACCAGACAGATCAAGAACATCAAATTCTCTTTTGCTTATGTTTGTCACGATACTACAGAAATTATTGAATTAAATTTATCAGTAACTTTGTTATTATTAAAATATTGAGTAACAAAAATATATGGTTATTATTTAAAGTTGAGTTATATGTAATAATATTTGATGTAATAAGACTTATTACTATCTTACTTTTATACTACGTATTTTCTTCCTTTTGTTTTGATTTGGCAGATAATAAAAACAAAAGTAACCGAATAGAAATTGAATAGCCGACATGAAAACTTATCACTTATTGATTAATGGTAATTTAAAAGAAACTTTAACTTTTTTTTTCTTTTTAAACATCTTAAATTTAATAAAAAAACATGCGTATACATATATCAGCCTAATGATATCCAGATGAAAATTTAAACAATGATTAGGACATCATTTTGTTATTACGTAATTTTATACTCCGCATTTGTTTGGATGAAAATTTATCAAATATGGAGTATTGAATAAAGCAATTGTTGACTCGTGAAGTGTGTTGACAGGAGCTAGCTCATCTATGTGAAGCCTGTGATAATAAATGGCATTATTTATTCAAGTGTTACTATTATTTTATTATATTAATATTTGGAGTTATCACATGCATCAAATTTGAAGAACCCGTGACATTTCTAGCTAGTTTAAAATGTCAGGATGGCTTTTCATTTTATTTTACTTTTTCATAGTCACTTAGTATGTTAGTATTGCTCTCTTGATACATATAGGTTTCGTTTAACTTATTAGCCCCTATCTCTTCTTGTTTCGTTTCTTCCACGGAGAGCATTTTAAATTTGTATTCCTTCTTTTCGTCTAGTTTTTATTAGCTTCTTCTATCAAATTAAGAGCAATACGTATATGAAGCTCAATTAAAGAAAAACAGACTTGTTCACAAAGGTATGTATGGTATCTATATTTTCTTTTCATACGTATAAGATATACTACGTAAGTTTTTATTTAAAAAATTCCGAATAATTTTCTGGTTTGAGTACTAAAAGAAGATAATAGATATTGACGTTAATGCCTGCAGGAGATTCGTGCTAATAACGTGTTGTGAAATGAAGAAGATGTAGAACAGATTTGAGAAATAGATATATTATTAATAATAAGCTTTAGATATTCTTCTTCTTAATATGAAAATTTCTGAGTTCTGAGATCATTTACAAAGAATTGAACTAGCCATATTTATACTAGCCAAACTTGGAGATGAATCATCTAGGAATGATTCTACACAATTTGCTGGCAGTATTAGATTACCCACCTGTCTAACTATGATTACAAAGATATGAATTAGATGAGTAGATTTATTATTACAAGGACCAGAAGTAGCTTGGTGTCATAATTTAGTATGTGATTTTACAACACATACTACGTATTTCTTTCTTTTCTAGTTTTTGTATTCTTTCTTTATGTGTTGTGACATGTTTTCTATTTTTCCTTGTTATGTTGGTTTTTCTTAAAACTTCCATATCATGATCTTTTTCCTGCATGTTTTATGTTAACAACATTAGTCATTCCCCATCATTAATGTTTTATTTTCATTTTTCGTTAATATTCTTTATTTTTTACATTCCCAGCTTTAATTTTTTTTACATTAAATCTCAAACATGCTCACGGTTTTAGCTCTGTTTGCAGTTTTCGGTTTTTAGTGTTTTTAACTTTCATCAATCATCATCAAATGTAATCAATTTAAACTTATTGCACCATAAGATAAAATATATTGAGCACTACATATGTGCACTTACCCTAGCAGTGCACTTGTGAACTAACACTACCTATTCAATTATTCAAATCTCCATCATTCGGATTTCGGTCTACTAAACACCAAGTAATTGCACTGATTGAACATATTGCATTCAAAGAATACACATATGCTGATACGCACTATTAGTAGCCACATCAAGCACTAGCTATTGCAGTTTACACGCCCTGGATATAAGTTCATTTCTGTATGAAATAAAATTACCTACAAGGCTACAAGACTAGACTTTCAACCAAGTAGGATTCAAAATGAACACTATGTTCGACTGAAAGAAAATTTAGACCCACCTTCAATCATTTTATACGTCACCAAAAAGACTTGTAGATTCATTACCATTTACCATAAGTTATTTCAAAAAAAAACTAAAAATAAAGCATTACATCATGTTAACTTCTATTCTAATCTGATAACCTAGATAAGTGTTATAAGCAAAACAAATATATGCAGACAAAGATCAGCAATAACCTTGCAGCTGTGCATCTCCCTTGTGCCCTGTTATTCAATCATTTGCAATGTCTCAGTGTTTGGTTAGAAAGTTTAAAACTTTTGTCATAATAATAGTAATAATAATAACAATAATAATAATGATAATGATAATGATAATAATAATAAAACACCCAACATTGCAGCACAGAGAGATAAAAAGCTACTGGCAGTGGAAGTAAGAGGGAGATTTCTAATTTAAATACTCGGGTAATTCACATTCAGTCTAGTGAGCTCTGAATGATCAGAGCATGAGCATGCACAAGAAGCTAGATTCCCTGGATTTGAAGTTATAGCAGAGTTCAGTTTGGGCAAGTGATTCAAGGGCCAGAAACTGCTAAAGAAGCTCTGTGGCTCCATTTAGTTTACAAGGCAGTCAGGGTAACAAGAAATACTATGAAGGAGGTGACGGCAAATTTTACTAGACTAGTGTTTGATTTGTCTTAAAGAAGGGCCTACTGAATGGTTGGTAAAATTACTGCTCAACATAAATCATGTGAAAAATAGCAAAAATTTTGTATTTGTATGTATTAATGAAAAGAATAACATAGACTTGAGCAGGGAAATAGAAAAGAACAATTCATACCTATATAGCAGGAAAGAGAGAGAGAAGGAAATGCTCATCTTCCATGAAAATCTGCAGATTATTTATCTTCATCAAGAAATTTATAGAATCCTCGTCAAACTCCACCATGTAGCCCAACTTGATTAGCTCAGCAAGCTCCCACACCTCATCTTCATTCTCACACAAAATTCCCTCAGAAACTACTTGTGAGAAATTTGTAGCAAACTCTAGGACACCTCTATAACCATTTGATTTATTCACGTCCGTGATGAAGAACTTGGAGCTCTCTCTCTCCCACCGCACCATTCTGCTTGTTTTAGCAGTCAGTATTTCACCGGATGAAAGTGACAGCTTATACTCAACGGGGATGGGTTCTTCCATTTTCAGAAAGGTAGCATTCACAAGGCGGCTCAGAGAGACGTGCCTCTTCTCCGCTTCCATCTCTATGTGAGGCTGAGCTAGAAATCCAAGAATCAGTCGGGACATATTTTTCGCAACATAGATCATTTCTGGATTGGCCTTTTCCAGTCCAGTAGAGTCTATTGGTAAAAGTTCTCTGCAATGGACTGTGTCTGACAAAGCCTGAACTCCAACTTCCCTGTAGATATTGAGAAGCTTGGTTCTTGGCAAAGATGACTGGCTTGGCTGTGGGTACCAAACAAACAGCGGGTGAGCAGAACTCTGTTCGAAAAGTTCCTTCATGCAGAGATTATCGGCAATAAAAACATCACCTTTGTCAAGCAACAGGATCTCGTGTGAACCTGAACAAACCGGAAATTTTGATAAATTCTCTTCAAAAGATTTTTGTGTCCTTGGGTTCCAGTGTTCAACCACAAACTCCCAAAAGGCACAGCATTCAGCAGGCAACAGTCCCCTCTTTGATGACTCCCACACTTTCCAAAGCATGAAATAGTCAGCCAGAGAAGGATTGCCTTTAACTCCTAATTTGCTGAAGAAAAGCAGCAATTTGCCACTATAGTACTTATCTAAAACGAACATTTGTGAACCAAAAAGACCAGTTTTGTCATGAAGAACGCAGCTTTGAGGTTTCACCCAGTTTCCACTATTCTCCCCGGTGGGAATCCATATCTTGACATTTGAACTCGCATCTTTATTGCGGCTAGTAGTAGGCCACTCTTGATCATTCAAGTATGTGTATACTCGATTGATTGTGGTGCGATTAGAGTGAACATCAAGGTAATCGGCGATCAATGAGCATCCATTTTCCACCTCAACCACTACCCCCAGAGCTTCAAGTTCTCTTGTGTATGACGAAATAACTGGACCATAAAACTTTTCATCGATGAAAGGTCCGTCCTCTTGCTTCAAGATTTCATTCCAATTTGAATCAAATAGCAGACACTCTTTTGGACATCGGTAGCCTGCTTGTGTCTTGATCCATTTCTGATCAAGCTTTTCTCGGAGAACGGAGATCCGCTTCTCATCAACATCCATTTGTAAATTCTTCATGCACATCAGAAGTGAAAATGCAGCGGGAGATGATATATGACTGGGGTTTTGAGGTAAACAAAGGCTTGTAGGAATGAACTTTGAGCATTTTTTGAAAGTGGTAGCTACACCCATTCTCTTAAGCTCGTCTTTGTACTGAAAAATGTCCTGGCCATAGTAAGCATCATCAAGAAATGGTAATAGAGTGACGGACGTAATTGGTTCCCAACCTTTGCCTATCAAGATGCACTCTTCCGGTGTGCTGGCAACTCCAAGTCTAGTTTTCAGCCACTTGGCTTCAAGAATGCATTTCCCAATACAGCCTAACAAGTTGAAACCTTCTTTTTCAAAATTCCTATAGCATTCAAGAAAAGAGAGGACATTGCTCTTACTCAAAGCACATTTAGACACATGCTGCCAAAAAGCATGACGAAATGATTCAATAACTTTCTCAAGTGTAACTGTCACTCCTAAATTGCGTAGTTCATTCTTAAACCGCAAGATTTTGCTTCCATAGAACTTTTCATCAATAAGGGGGAAGCTGTCAAAGACCTGGAGAAGGCAAGCCCAGGTTGGATCGGGTAGGAAACATTCAGCAGGACATTTGTACCCATGATTCACCGTTTTTAGACATCTATTTCCCTTTAGTGCAGTGCATAGCCTGTTAGAAGAATTTAAATTTAGGTGACGGATACACTCTAGTGCCATGAGAGCTGCTTCAGCACCAAGTGAAATTAACTTCTCTGAGGGTTTCAAGTTGGCGACAACTAGCTGATAATTCTGTTCTAATCCAAAGACAACACCTAGCAACTTGAATTCTTCCTTGAAAGCTTGAATATCCTGACCATAATAATTTTGATCAACAAATGGGATGTCGCTGATCTGTACGGCAGCAGCCCATTCGTTATCAAAGAAAACTGATTGCCCTGGGCTTCTCTTACCTAGCACCGTCTGCAACCAAATCCCATCTTTAATGCTGATGATAAAGTCATCTGGCGATAAATACTTATTCCTCAAGTGCCTAATGAAATTAAGCATGGAAAATACATCAGATTTTGTCAAACTGGAAGAAGCGACCAGAGACATAAAGTGCTTCCCTATAAATTGACAAGCTTCCTTAAATTCAAACATGACACCAACGGTTCTCAGATCATCCTGATACTTGTCTATCGCATCACCATAAAAATCCTTGTCAACTAATGGGATGTCCACACGTACAGATCCATTCTGCAGATGATGTCCCCATGAAGAGGAATGGAAGAAGGACTGTGATGGAGGTCTGTATCCATGACCACCACATAGACAGACTCTAAGCCAACATCCTTGTTGTATGGATGTAGAGAACCTCTCTGGCATTGACATCCGATTCATTCGTATGTTATGAATCCAATCTAGGAGCAGGAACACATTTTCCCTTGTTAGTGGAGAAGACATACTGGATAGTACAGAATCCGGGGGAGGCAAACTGGGAATATCTGAAGCACGAGCATAAGCTTTAAGAAATCCAAGCAGCTCCTCTTTCTTGGTAAATATATCAGCATATCGTCGAGAATGTAAATAGTCTCCTCCAAGCTCAATGTAACCCTCACTTTTCCATGGATTTGATCCAATCAGTTGAACCCATTTACTTCCATTTGCAGGTACAATAACACCACTTCTTCCAGAGACCACCCACCCATAGCCATCAACCAGAGGCATTTCACTGCAAAGCGAACCAATTTGTGCAGCTGTGACATAAAGTTTCACAAATGAGTGATACAGGAAATGAGCATATGCAAGGACAAGCTTTGATTCATGAATCAATGAGTCACGGATGAGAACTGCATAGTCATGCACGTCAACAGAGTTAGCATTCACCTCACTGAGAAGCCACTCAAACACACTCTGCCACTTAGAACCACTATGAAATGCTTCTTGTGTTGGTTCAGTAAAGAAATATCCATTCACGCATCGAAACTCTTTGTTCCAACTAATAAGCCAAGATACTTGATTGGATTCAGTGGAGAGAAGCAATGTGGGATTACCCTTGGAGGCATCATTTGTGCTACACAGCGCTTCATGCCCATTCATGTCAACATACTTCAGTAATGGTATATTCACCATACTAGTCATCGAGAAAGACTGTTTCCAGTTTTTAGCAACAAACAACAAAAGCTCCATGTAAAGATCTTCAGACACTCCCAAAACAAGATCAGAACTCTGAATGCACATTGAATACCACTCATTTTCAACAAGCTTCACTTCCAAAAAGTTCAAAATGTGGTTGCACTCCTCATAATCAAATGCAGAATTCAGAATGTGTATCCCGTGGGAAGATATGTTGTGCAAAGCAACTCCTTGCTTCCTTGCTTTGCTCAGCAAGCTCCAAAAGGCAGGTTGTAGCCTACCCACTTGAGATGGTTTCCGGAAAATCCTTTGTTCTGTGTATGACTGACAAGGAATTATATCCTCGTGAAGCAGTTTTTCTTTGATTGAACATCTTATGGCATTAAGGCTTGAATAAGAAGAGCTGCTGACAGGTAAAAAGCCAAACATATTAACCAGGGTCTTGACCGGTACGTCTTGGTAGTCTTTGACTAATGAGGTGAAAGCCCCTAAGAAGGCCAGCGGAACACAGTTGAGTATTCCCTGGTTCCATTTTTCATCTAAAAGAATGGCTTCCCTCGAAGATGACAACATGAAATCTGCTTGAATTATAAATGGGAAATTTGTGACCATCTCTGTAGGAAGAAAAGCATAGATACCGGGAGAGCTAAGCCCTCCATTAAGACGCTCTCCATATGGAAATGCGAGCGTAATCACCCACTCATCAACATCCTTTCTTTTATCAACTCTGTGTCCTTGCGGGACTGGAAACCTTTGTCTCCACATGTGGTAGCTGCACCGTTCTGCGCTACCCACCTTTTCATCAGCAGAGAGGATTAGCAAGTAGGACTCAGCATCAATGTTTTTCTTCTTTACAAGGTCTCTCTCGCTTGAAATAGATATTGCGCTCACCGTGTTGAGTTGTTTATCTTCATTGGCTTCTCTGACAGATAGCTGCCTTATCTTAGTAAGGAACAAGAGGAGCTCAGGATGAATGTTAGACAGTTGCTGTTTTACAGGTTTCACCTTGTCGGATTTTAATGGCAACACTATAGTTGTGGTAGGGAGTCTGGTCGAAGAAGAACCATAGATTAGTTTTATGCGTGCAAGGATAGGGTTCTCATCTACCCACTCTGGTACAATGTAGCCAACGTTGCAATGACGACAAGGTTCCTCACTAAATCGAATCTGGTAGCCATTGCTAAATATGTAGGGCCGAGCAGAGATAAGAAATACACTCTTAAAACCAATCCCTGGAACAAAAAAGTGAAAATACACAACTGTGAGATGAGAGAGCTTGACGGGTGTAGGTAAAACATAACATACTGAATAAAACATAGGTAGAATATGTATTCCTAAGCTAATCTTGTGTGACATTAGAAAAAAATACCAGATAAACAGCCTTATTGTTGTTGTATTGTCTGTTTGGTACAAGATAGAGGAAGCTGTTTATATTGTATTTTTTCTAATGTCACCCAAGATTAGCTTAGGAATACATATTCTACCTATGTTTTATTCAGTATGGTATGTTTTACCAAAAGTTCCTCTAGGGTAACCAAGTTAAGAGAAGGAATCCAAATAAGCAGAATACATTTCATTTATTTTTAACCACAGATATGATTAGTTATCATAACAGGGAAAACACTATGTCTATACAAACTCCAAATCCATGCACATGCTACTTCCATGTTCAGAGTGGGCAAAAATCATGTATTGACTCCTATTGTAGACTGAAAAACACCAACGTTCAAGGAGTATATATTTGACAGAGACTCTTAACACTGAAGAAACTTAAAGTAACTTTCAATATATGTATTTTGGAGTCCACTAAAATCCATATTCAGTACACCCCTCTTACCCTCTAATTCTAGTCATGACCTTATTCTTGTGAATGAAATAATGAGCAATGATGAAACAAACCAAAAAACAACAGTGAATAAGCACTCCCTACTTACCTTTCTCGCCTATATAGCCACTTTTGCGGTTGGCTTTCTTTGTGGAACGGCCTACGCTGCAAATGGACTCAATGTTCTTGCGGGAAAATCCTTTTTCGTTGTTGAATATCAACAGAGTGGCACTGGCTCCCGTTTCCGTGATGTCTTTAGACGTGATGACGAATTCCAGTGAAGGCTCGACTCCATCCTCGTACTCATTGTCCTCCGCATTCTGCAAATCATGTAATTGTTATACGTATTTTGTAAATGAAGACGGCGAAGAGCAAGGAAAGTAGGCTTCCTGGGTCCCACTTACCTGTACGAGTTCCATGAGAAAGTGGACATCTTTGGAGTAGAGCTCTGCGGAGAGGTTTTTGACGGCTTGGTGGAGGTCCTCCGTCAGAGGGTTGGGGTCTCCTCCGATTGAAAACTTGCATTTGCGAATCTCTTCTATGTGGTCTTTCGGGCTTGTCGCCATCTATGGATTGCCCCTCTTTACAGTTAGTTGATTACTGAGTGAGTCATGGAGGAGGGAGGAAGTGTCTTGTGACTTGTGAGAGGCAAACTGTACTCTGGACCTTCTGAAACAAAGGTTACGAAATTCAACGTAGAATTCAAAATTATTATGGAAAAGATACGGAGTATTTCCCTAAATAATACGGAGTATTCCTCCTCATTTATGTATTTTATTCTTAGCAACTAGTAGGGGTGGGCATAACGGTTCAGTTTGACCGAACCGAACCGTACCAAACCGAATTAAACCGAATCGAAACCGAACCATTTGTAATTTGGTTTAAGTTTGGTAGTATTCCTCCCAACCCGTATTAAACCGAACCAAACCGAATCGAAATCATAAAACCGGACTAATCTAAAAATGAAATAATTTCTTATTTTTTTAAAATAACAAATCAAAACCAACTTACACCAAACTAAACCAAACCAAAATATAAGATTTCTCTCATTAATTTGATTGATGCTAATCTTTTTGAAGCTTTAATTCTTTAATTTTAGTATCCAACTATCCAAGACTAGAGTTTATTACAAGAGTTACATTCACAACTATAACAATTATAGTGGTTTAAGTAGATAGTATTTAACTATAATTTATTATCTACTACTACTATATACTTGGTTCATTACTTACAAGCACCAGATTTGTTTTTGTTTCGGCTTTATATATAATTTGATTTATTCTCGTTGTTGTTGCTTACAAATGTGTCATGCTTATATATTTTTAGTTCATATGTGTTTTGTTACTGTTTGCAAATTTATATCTAACATTATATTTGGTTCATTACTATCGCTTCTTGGTTCATTATTTTGAGTTAATTTTTTTTCAATCCAAACCTTAATACTTTGGTAAACCGAACTCCAAACCGAACTGAACCATACCAAACCAAAACCAAACCGAAACTTAATCGGTTTGTATTTGGTACATTTTCTATCAAACCGAAACCGAACCGAAACCGAAGAAAACCGAACCGAAAACCGAAATGCCCACCCCTATTAGCAAGTACTATCGTACTCCGTATTATGAAAGTTTGGGATATTTTAGTGGATGCCTACCATCTCCATTCTGGTTAATTGCAACATGTCCAACTTTAGAGTATAAGTAATTATACTAAATGGGACTAAAACATGGTGAAAACTCCAAAATAGGACTTCAAGTTTTAATTTGCCTAAATGGGACTCCAGATTACATTTTTACCTCTAATCCCTAAATCACCTTTTCCCCAATCCCTCTACATCGATCACACCTCTGCTTCGATCGCACCTGCGATTGCAATGAAGCAGTTGCCTACGATTACATCGATTGCGACTCAGCTGCCATGGACGCAACCCAACCGGCATCATCGCAGCTATAATTTCTTCCCCAGCTGCCATGGATGCAGCTCAACCGCCATCATCACACCTGTAATATCTTCCCCATGTATTCTTCCTCCTCCGCATCTTCTTCTTTTTCTTCTCCTCCTCCTTCTCCTTCTCCTTCTTCTTCTTCCCCTCTGTTTTTGTTCTTCTTTTAAATTTCAGATTATTTTAGACACTGTAATTCGAAAATGTCATCTTTACTCGAAAATGACATGTTTTAATAACTGTAAATGTCATCTTTCTATTCCAAAATGCCAACATTATTTTAACATCAGACTACACAAGATTTCATTTTTCAAAAAATGACATGTTTTAAGAATGCCACTTAATGACAATTTTGTATAGAAATGTGGCATTCTCAATATGTCATTTTCAAATATTGTAATGACATAAAAGTGTCATTTTGTAAAAATACCCAATAACTATGACATTCTCTTATTCAAAAGTGTCATTTTCTGTAATTGATAAAAAGAAATTCAAGTTCAGGTATATCTTCATTTGAAACTTTCAAAAATCAAAATTTTATTTAAAATCTTATTGATAAAAAATTAAAAAAAAAAGCAGAGAACTAGGAAGAAAAATAAGAGATTACCTACCTAATAAGTTTTTAAGCTATGGTCCTGCTTTGTGATTTTGCTGCAGGAGGAGGACCTGCACTAATGATTGATGGTGGTTGGTGTCTCGCCGGAGGGTGGAAGACGGAGGTTGTGGTCTGATTGGACGGCGGTAATGTTCTGTGACAGCACCGCTAGAAGCACCAACCACGATGGAGGTCGTTGTGCATCGCTAGTGTGCATCGCAATAGTTGCTCGACAGAGCATTAGGCTTTAATTAAGGGTAGTTTTGGTAGATTACTTCTTTTTAGTCCTATTTTTGTCAAATAAAACATAACAGTCCTGTTTTTAAAATTCTACCTAGTTTTAGTCCTATTTAGGTAAATCTCTCTTAGAGTATTTATAAACTCCATTTTAGCTATGTTAACATAATTTTTTTTTCACTTTTCATTTTGATATGCCCCAAAAATTATTCTCATTTTTCTTTTTGGGAAGTTTGTGTGATTAATATTCATTTTCATTTTGCTAAATCAATCGCAAAAACACATTTTTATTTTATTTCCACTTTCTTAAACTTCAATCTAAGTCAAACAAGAAGAAATTTGAGGTCCGGAGAAAGTATATATCAATGTATAATTCTTTTTTGAAATTATTGTTGATTTCATCTTATTGGAAATTTTCTTTAAAAAAATTAAACTTTTTACTAATAGAGAATCAAATATATTGACACTCAAAGTTTTGTGTTCTCAATCGTAAAAATGAAAGATTCACTAGATTTTTGTTTCTCATTGTATGAGCTTAGTCTACTTTCCATTTTCAATTTTTGACATCATAAATTATGTCCACACTTTTTATATGACATCATTGTACTATGGTTGATGGTGTGTATGCCGATATCTATATGACTATTTATATACATAAAGACAAAACAATTTTTTAATGTTCAATGAACAGTAAATTTACTATTCAATGAACATTATTCCCTCTCGCGCACACCACTAGCATCCCAAATAATCTCAACCGTCCGTTGCAATGGATCATCACCGTTTCTTCTTAGCCCCATTCATCCCTTACCATTCCTTTTTCGATTCATTCCCGTCTTCTCATCTCCCTTACCCTCTCGCACCAAACTAACCTCATTTACCGTTTCTTCTCTTCATCTGATTCCTCCTTTCCCATTTCCTTCTCCACTGATACCTGTCTTCTTCACCACTTTCGCTGACCATCATGTCTAAAGCCTGCATGTGATCTTTGTACCACATGATAGATCGAATATGACTTGGTCGGTTCGTGCTAAGTGGCATCCTTCATACTTCAATGATATGAGGTTAGATTTTGATTTATAACTTTTGTTGGGATATTGGACCAAAGGCCCAATACCCGGGCCAAGGGCCCAGATTATCCAGTACAAAACAGTTATCCCAGAATCCAGGCGAAGAGCGGGCCCAGAGAGAAATATGTAGCGAACGGGGATCGGGTCAACCAAGATACTTGGGCCAAATCAACAACGTTTCAGCATGACCCACCACTCCGATTAGGCAACGGATCATTGGCAAGTGGCAAAGTGCATTAAATGTTAAAGTGTGACATCAGCAAATGGGAGGATGGGCATTCAAGTGGCTGGATTAGCAACCAATCAGCAAGGAGCACCCCATACCCCCCCATTAGTATAAATAGAGGGATTAATCTCATTGTAAATGGTTAGCATTTTGATACTCAAAGCCTAGAATAGCTTAATTACTCTTGTTCTTGTATTAATTACTGTTTCGACGTACCGTTCGGGGAATTTCTTGTGTAATCAGCGAATTGCACAATACAAGTGGGCTCTTGAGATTATTATCGATTTTCAGCTTTTATATTTTCTTATACACACAAATCACAATCCACATCCTGAAATATCCAAAGCGTGTGTTGGGCTTTCGGATCTGCGGGACTAAACCTCAACATTGGCGCCGTCTGTGGGAAGTTTGAACAAAAAGTTTCAAAACAACCAACTATCCAAACATCAACCTATTGTTAAAATGGTCAGAATCACTTCTCATCATACTGGTGGAAGTTCTAGAATACGTGGGGAGAGTAGGACCCCCCAAGGGCAATATAGCTGGGGGTCGTACCAACATTTTGATGGGGATTTCTTCATCCCCGAAGCACTGAGGAGGAACCCCCACGCCATGCGGGATCTAGCTCAGGTCATGCAGCACCTGGAGGATGAGCAAGATGGGGGCGATCCAGCTATACAGGGGAAACCAGGTACACGACCCCATCCACGATGCAATCATTCGAGGAGGAGACCACCGATACAGAAACCACCATGGCTTCGAACCATTCACGAGCCCATCGGGGAGAGCACAGAAGGACTCATACGTCAGGGGGTCGCCATCACACTCCTAGTGACCACACCCCGACCGAGTCCCAAGCCAGAGGAGATACGCCGGTTGGGCGCCATTTCTATTATGGAGAACAGGATAACACCCGATTCAGACAGGGATGTCAGAATCAGAGAACAACCCCACCAGAAGGAACTCGGGAATTTGTTAATCTGGGAACTCCACCACCACCTCCCCTAATGGCCCAAGAGGAAGAGATGGCTGAAATGAGGAGGCAAATGAACTAAATCAGGGACCAGATGATCAGGGCACCTCTACAACCCACCTCGGTGCGAGTTGGGATCACTTCCCGCTTTACCCGGGAAATAATGGATGCCGAAATCCACAGAGATGCCAAACCACCAACCGGTCAGATATATGACGGGGCGGGAGACCCCCATGTGCATTTGAGGAGTTACCAAGGGGGGCTCATGCTTTTGGGGGCAACAGAGGCGGCTATTTGCCGGCTTTTCTTCAGCACACTCAGGGGACCTGCCCAGGAATGGTTCGGGACCCTGCAACCAGGATCGATCGGCAACTTTGTTGAATTATCATCCTTATTTCTGGCCCAGTTTGCTTCCAGTATCACCCCAAAGTGGCATTTTAGCTACCTGACTAGTGTTAAGCAGGGGCCAAAGGAGACCCTAAATCAATTTCTGAAAAGATGGAGGGATGAAACCCTAAAAGTTGGAAACATGACGGGTGATACAACCATCACCCTATTCACTAACGCTCTCCGAACGGGTGAACTGTATAAAGACTTGAAAAAGAATCTATGCACTGTGTATTCCGAAGTGCTGGATAGGTCCC